GTGAAAAAAAGTAAAATGATTAAAACATAGCTCACATTTAAGATAATTCATTACATTAATATATCACTTTTGCAGGTGTGCAAGATTCAAGTAATCTCAAAAATACTGGATATTATTGGAATTTTAAGTAGACATCCATGCAGCACCTCTGCAATTCAAGCGTTCAAAAATAGAACCGTACTGGGGCTGGGGATTTAGCTCAGCGGCATAAGCACCTGCCTTGCAAGCAGGCAGTTGTGAGTTCGATCCCTGGTACCGATGAAAAAGAAAAAAAAAAAAAAAAAAAAAAAAAAAAAAAAAAAAAGAACCGTATTAACTCCTAACACCTATATAAAGTACCTATACAAAGTACATTAACTTCCATCTTACCAAGCACTTAATACAATGGATTCTTTTATTAAAGAGCAAGCACAACATCCCAAAGGATCCCACTGTTTACCATGTCAAACATCATACAATTTTTTTGTTGACACCAATTCTCACTACAGTAAATCACACAAACTATGAATAACCTTTTGTTTTGTTTTGGTATCAGGAACTGAACTCCAGGCCTGAGCTTGCCCAGCAGGCACTGTACCACTGAGCTATATCCCTGGGTCCATGGAATACCTTTTTAAAAGGTAGTAATTTACCCAAGAACTATGTTCCATTTCAATAATTTTATATAGTCTTGGTCAGCTACTTTACCTGGGCTCCTTCTCCATGGTATAAGCAATTCACCACATTGTCTAAAAGGTTGATATCCAATTTCTGGCTGAAATCAAGCAGCTGACGAGCTGCATGGTCTGCTAACATTGTCATAATTGCTGGCATAGATTACTGAAAGGCAAGGAAAAAAATTGAAGCTGTGTGAAGAAACTTTGAAGTTATCACTCAAAAACTATGTCTACTCATCTTCCTCCAACGAAATTCTTACACATTTTTAAATTAGAGAACTTTGAGACTTTCATCTAATTAATAACTGGTAAGAACAAAAACTGAGTTAGCTACTCCATAATAATGTTAGTAGGACTCATTCAATTTTCCTTAGTATTTTTAACCTCTATAAAATTTAGTTCCTACACTCAAACTAGCAAACAATTTCTTTCAAATTACATTTTACAAGCATACACATTCCTTAATTTCAGTCTCCTAAGAGCTGGGATTACAGGTGTATTGCACCTTTCTCTGCTACAAAACAAGACTTCAGATTTTTAAAAATTTTCAGGTATTTGCCAGTAAGGTAAAAGCTAGCCAACTTCTAAATAAAAGCACATTTTATCATAACAAGCACTAAAATAAAAAAAAAAGCTACTTCATCTCAAATAAATGTACTGGTCAAGACTTATTGGTTCATGTGTAAGGTATCCAAGACTATCCCAACACTAAGATAGATGCTTGTATGTAAACAAACACACTTTCAGTTGCCCAGAATCACCAAAATCTTTTCTCTGCTATTTCTTCAAAGTCAATTCTACTCAATTCTGACTGGTTGAACCACTTTGTTCTTCACCTTCCCTTGGTCAAGACGCCAAAGAATCTGAGAAACACAACAGACTGTAGCCCACTTTTTAAAACTTCCAATTCTGTATACAACTGAAGAGATTCACAACATCCTAAAACCACCAATGAAGTCTCTACAAAAGAATATTAGATCAAAGTCAAGATGGTCATCTCCACTTATCCCTCAAAAACAACAACAAAAACCTCACAGAATAAAATGGTTAATTTGATTACAGTTTGGACAAAGCAGAAGTTAGGAAAAAAGCCGTTTCTCCTCAGCTGTTCTATAGCAGTTCAAAAAAGTCCTGTAGGATACGGCTACCTCTATAATTCCAGCGCTCTCGCTACCGCAGAATAGCTCGGTTCGTGGTCAGCCTAAACTCGTGTATTTAGACCCTGTCTCAGGAAACAAAACGACTACAAGTTCAAAAAAATGTCACCTGGGTGAGGTATAACAAAAACACACGTAAAGATTTTTTTTTAAATTATGAACAAAAGGATTTTAACTTCTCTAAAGTCTGTTTAGTCCATCACCGACAATTAAAGAGTCCAAAATCTTTATCGGGCATTAATCATTTTTTTTAAAAACCAAACGTCACACAAAACCAAAATCTTTTATCTACATACATTCCACAAATAAAGATGTAAATTTTTTCTACCTTCAAGTGACAGGAAACTTTAAAAGACTGTCAACATTAAAAATCAAAACTTAAAAAACAATGCCCAATAACCAAGACCTATGTACACTATCTCAAAATTCCGGTATTTTTGGTTAAAAAAAAAAAAAAGCGAATCTTTCTCCGGCCGTAATTTATAGCTCAAAGAAAAAAGGATTAATAAACTCCAAAAAAGTTTCACTTTCAAACGTGCTATCCTTGAGTTCTCCGTACTAGCCTCGTGAAAAGCCAATAAAGTTTAAACACAGTAGTGTACCATCTCGAACTAGCAGTTATCTTGGAAAGGTCCCACCTATTCCTAACTGTATGCAGTACAAAAATGGCGGCTTTGTGGTCAATGCCAAGCACATTTAGTCCCCCAGATCAAACAGCTTCCAAAACATTGTTTCCACCATCAGCAGTGTGCCACATGCTGAAGATACCAAATCAGGCAAAAAAGCGAACAGCTAAAAGCAGGAGAGGTGTAACTACAAAGGATTTTCTTCCTCACTGGTAAAATCCACTCGCTGGACTCCTCCTATGGTACTAGGGACACCTACCTAGTAGTGGCGTCACTCTGCGAGTGAGTGCCAAAACACCTTCACCGCCACAACAAACTAAACGGGCAAATACCTAATACTACCGGTGCCTATCCAGAAACGCACACACAAGTAGCAACCGTAGCTTTAAGAAGTTAACTTCATACTAAATGAAATAACAGGTCGCTCCAAGGCGAAAGGCTGCTGCTCAGTAGTGTGGGCAAGCGCCCGCTTCATTCAGCAGAAACACAGCTCACTAAGGCCCGCCCTCCTCTCGCCTCCCAGTAGAGCCGATTTGCAGCACTTCTAACTATAGCACACAGGAGCACGCCTTCTCCCCGCCCCTACTCGGAGCAGGCTTTTAGACCAGCAGCCGTAAGTTCACCGCCCCACTCTCAATGCAGCATGGCCTCGCAGGCACGAGCTGGGCAAGTACTTGGTATGTTTCCTCTACTACACCGCTTCCTTCCCTCCACCCCAAACTCCAGACACATCAGAATGGAGCAGGACCTGGGCATCATCTACCCGCTGCCAGCAGTAAACGACTGGACCAACTTAACACATTCAAACCCCCCTAAAAGAAACTAACACGGCGCCACATCTGCAGATCCCTGAAAAATTAACTCATCTTTCCCATTTCTCGTCTTGCTGTTTAAAACAAAAAGCAACTTGAGTTTCCCTGCAGCAGAGCAGGGACTCGGCAGCCCCTCCCTCCCCCATCCCAAGCTCTCCACAGAGGGGGCCACGTGATGCAGGCGGACGTCTCAATACTGCTGCACTAAATATTTCTGGAAACTTCCACTCCTAATAATTTAGAAATGTTCCTGAAAACACCTCAACTTCTCCCCGGCCCTCTGGGATGGGGAAGCCCTTCCATTCCCGCGCGGGGGCCCCAATTCACTACCACGCTCCTCACCTTCCTCCACCACCACCCGCACACGCGAATGACCCAGCAAGCGCTCCCTTCCCGCGGCCGCCTCCCCGCCTCCATCTCCGGCAGGAGAAGCGGCTCCATTCAATTGCAGGCTCGGGGGCCCGAAGCGCTCGCCGCCACCGCCTCCCGGGCTGCCGCGCCCCACGCCGGCCTCTCCCGCCCGGCCGCGCCGCCGCCCGAGCCTCGGCCCGCACACACAGCCGACTTACCCAGAAATTGAACCAACTGCTTCTTCCTTCCTTGTCGAGGATTAGGGCGAGGGAAGGCGGGGAGGGGGGAAAGGGGAGGAAATCAAGGTGGGTTTCACAGTTTTCCCACCTTAAAAAAGGAAATTAAAAAACGGATAAGAGCAAAAAAAATAAAATAAAAGCTCAATATTTACTATTCCAAGGACACCTCCCCCAGACACACACCCACCGCCCCCCCCCAAAAATGAAGGGGAATAATAATCTGAGGCGTAAATGCTCCCGCCCGCCTGGGGAGTGAGGGAAGGGGGAGGGGAACAGGGTCAAGTCCCAGAGATTCAGCCCCAGGGGGACCCTAAGCCACAGGCGGCAGCAGGAGCGGCAGGAGTAGGGGTGTAGAGTCCACACGTCGGGGGAACGCTCTGCTACCAGTTGCAGTCCGACTCCCCCCTACCAAAACACGGCTCCCTCTCACGCGGCTCCGGCGCCGGGCCCCCCCACCCAGGCTCGCCTAAACTTTCCCCCCTTCTCTTGCTCCTCAGCGACTGGTGGTTCCCCCCTCCCCCTCTGGGTGGTTGCACGGACTGCAGCAGCAAAGACTGGAACAGGCACCGCCGCCGGGGTTGTAGCTACTGCTGCTCTTGCTGATGCTGTAGCTCCCGCTGCTCCTGCCGCGGCCGCCGCAGCCGCTTCTCCCCCTCCTCCTAGTGCCTCAAACTCGGAACCGGTTGAAACCGGTTCAGACTGGGAGATTCCATCTCGGTTGAGTTTTCAGCCCATGGCGCCGCGGAGCGTTTGGAACCTGGGCCTCCGCCCCCAGCCCGCCCGCCTATTGGCCGGTTCCAGCCACTGCCGCGCCATCAGCCTATCTTTTACTGGCCTGAACGTCCGTCAATCCCACCTCAAGTCGCCACACGAGCCTGCTGCTTCGGCCCCCGCCTCTTTCCAGCAGCGATTTGTCCGCAGAGTGGGGGAGGGGAGATTGGGCGGGCCGAAAAAGAGCGAGGGGGTTCAAGGAGGAGGAGGTAGGACTGAGAACCGTGCTGAACACAGAGGAGAGCGACGAGAAGCCGCAAGGAGGATTGGTTCAAAATAGTTGTCAATCAAATGCACCCCACCCCCGACTTCCCTTCCCCGATCCCCCTCCCAGAGTTTAACCCGCAGGGCCCGCCTTTCCGGCTCGCTCATTGGCTAGGCGCCTTTAGTGACGGGAGGGTGGGGCGCAGCTCGTGAGCCGCTGGCGGCGCGAGTTTGAGCGCGGCGCGCGGCGGCTGGCCCTAGGCTTCTGTGGCCCGCGCCCTCCCGCCCCTGCCGGCTCCCGCCAACCTGCGGAGGCCTGAGCCCGCCCGGACCAGGATCCACCCCTCAAAGGGGGGTCTGCGGGTCGGAAAGGGAAGGCACGCTGTTGTTTGTAAATCGGGGGTGGGGTGCGGTGAGTAAAGGAGCCAAAGTACACTTCGGAGGTGAATTGTAGACCGGGACCTCCGATCCGTTTCCGCGGCCTGGGTTTGGGTCCTGGAACAGGGGAGAAGAGTGTCCGGGAAAAAGGCTGGCGTGAGCTGCGGGGCGTGCTATCTGGGCGCCTCATGAGCAGAGTCCTCGAAAAGGTATCCGTTAGTTAACTCGGCGAGCGTAAGCATTTTAATTCTGCCTTCCTAGACTGGAATTTGTTTCAACAACCAGCCCTTCCTAAAAGCTGAAACACTTATCTGTTTACTGGTTTAACGGCGCGTATCTTCACTTGGGTAAGCTCGAATGCCAACTGCTTCCCCCCTGGTGCCCTTCATCTGCCACGCTTTCAGTTTTGTTTCTCAGTTTAGGTGCTTTTCACGTGCTTCACCACCACCAAGTAGTATTTTCCATTAAAGTCACGCACATGGCCTTTCAAAAGGTCGCCTCTCTTGTTTGTCCCTAAGTGTCCACCAATTCGGCTTTGCAGATTGTTCCTGCGCTAAAAAGAGCAAACAGCCCACCAAAATTTACTAGGCACATTGTGCCACCAAGAGGCGGATAACTCATTAAATCAACACAGTCTTCAATTGCATTGAACAATGGCTAACACCAAATCACCACTTCAGTATAACCTCAATCTCCAGTGAAGAAAAGCCCACTAACAATTCTTTGATGTATCACAATGATGTTGGATGACTTTTCAGACCTAACGTTTCTTTGTTGCTTAACTGAATGGTATTAACTATAACATATGTATATGAGACATAATATATACTGATCATTTGAAATACTTGAGATTCAATTACCACACAGCCTGAGCTACAAAGTGAGTTCAAGGCCAGGCCAATTGCATAGAGAGACTCTTCTCTCAGAAAAAAAGGATTCAATTATCAGAGTGTAGGAGTTGTACTGTTTTTTATCCTCTTACTGAGATTGAATCCAAAGGTGCTATGACTGAGCTATGTCCCCAGACCTTTTTATCTTGAGAGCAGGTCTCTTTTTTTTTTTTTTTTTTTTTTTTTGAGAGGATCTTGCTATGCCCTTGAGGCTGGCTCTGAACTCACTATGTAGCCCAGGTGATCAAATTCGAGGTGATCCTCCTGCATCAGCCTCCTGAGTCCTGGGATTACCACGCCTGTCGGGGGGGTCTCCTGTTTTTGTCTTTTCCTGGAAATGCAACTCAGGACCTTGAAAGGCTGAGACAAGAGGATCCCTGTAAATTCAAGACCAGCCTGGCCTGTATAAGCGAGTTCAAGGCCAGTCTGGACCACAAATCCTATCACAACACCCAAACAAACAAAAACCAGAGGTCTTATCTGTCTGATCACAGTGAAATCACTGCCAATACTTGGCAAGAGGTACCCATCATGGAAGAATTCCATATAAGCAATAATACATACTAAAAAAGTTATTAATATAACTAAAAAGCTACAAAAAGAAGTGACAAGGGCAGATAATTATATTTGATCACTACATTTTTAAGGTCAAATTCAGAATATAGGTGTGATGTGTTATGTGTTTCATATTTTTTCTTTCATTAGTTGGAATCCAACAGATTTCAAACCTCAGAATAAAATATGGATAAGGAAATCTAAGTAAATTTGAAGGCCTATTTGCTGTCCAACAGGGTGTTGGAAACCATCTGGGTAATATTTTGTTGAATGCTCTCACCCTATGAGATAGTTATGATTTTGCAGCTACCCCCACTCCAAGCCCACACCATTCTTTAATTCTGGAGTCAGTATTAGAAACTATTCTTTCTCCTAATTCATATTGTTTCACAAAACAATTCAGAAATAAAAGAAACAGGAGCCTATAAATTCCTTGTCTCGAAATCTGATGTGGTGGTGTACACCTATAATCCCAGCACTCGAGAGGCAGAAGCAAGAGGATAACCATTAGTCCAAGGCCAGCCTGATCTACATTGTGAGACCCTGCCTCAAAAAAAAAAAATTCTTTTCTCCATTTCTCACTTTTTTGGATTTTTAAAATTTATTTTATTGGGTTGGGGATTTAGCTCAGTGGTATAAGTGCCAGCATGGCAAGTGCAAGGTCATGAGTTCGATCCCTGGTACAAAAAATTTTTATAAATTTATTTATTTGGTAACTGGGCTCGAACTCACGACCGCATGCTTGTGAGGCAGGCGCTTATGCCGCTGAGCTACATCCCTGGCCCTAAAATTTATTTTTAATTTACGAAACTGTGCCCTTGGTCGAAGACACTGACCACCCCCATACAGGAAGCTTTCCTCAGTCAAGGTTATAGGAACAGCTGTGCCACCTGTTAGAACCTCAAACAAGTGCTCAAGAAAGTAGTAAGTGATCACAATTAACAATTCAAGCGATGGAGAAATGTTTAGAATAAAAAGTGAAAATCTCCTTCCTGTAATCATCCATTTTCCTCCCCAGACGCAGTCATCAAGAGAAACTCATACAAACTTTAAGATATATTTTGTGCATTTACAAACATTCGTTTTGTGTTTTGTTCAGCTTTTTACTTAATAGATCAGAATGTATAAATCCACTTCATCCTTCTTAATAGTGCCTCAGTCTTCATCTCCTCAGCACACTATATGACCGAACCATTTCCTCACAGAGGACGTTAGTAGGTTTCCTGTTTCCACTCTGAGGAGTAAGACTGCAGTCACTATCCCCCTATACATTCACCTTGGGCACAAATGCCAAAGTCCAAAAAGTAGAATTACTGTGTTAAAGTAATTCCTAGGCAAAGATGCTCTACCACTAAGCTACACCTCCAGCCCTATATGTATGTTTTAATAAATACTGCTGAGATGTCCCCTAAAAACATTGTATCAACTTACATACTAACCACAAAATAAGAACAGCATTTATTTATTGTCTGTCAAAAGCTGTATAGCCAAATGTGGTACAAGCCTGTAATTCTAGCTTTCCTAGGAGGTTGAGGGAGGAGGACCGTGAATTTGAAGCCATCCTGGGAAATTCAGCGGGAACTTGTCTCAAAATAAAAAATAAAAGAAGGCTGTGATACAGTTCAGTGCTCCCTGGGTTCAATCCCCATTGTAGTGAGGGTTGGGGCAAGGAATAGATACTTGCTGTTTCTGTCAATACTTAATATAATCAGAACACAGTCCTGTAAGAAAGTTTAATATTGGGGGCTGGGGATTTAGCTCAGCTGCATTTGCCTGCCGTGCAAGCAGGCTGTCGTGAGTTCGATCCCCAGTACCGATAAAAAGGAAAAAGACAAAAAAAAAAAAAAGTTTAATATCAGTTGAGTCTGATCATTCAAATGAGCAATCAGCACTTTTATTTTCTTTTAATTATTCTGGCTTTTTGAGATCTCAGGCTGGGGTGGAGGAGCTATAGTTCAGTGGTAGAGTGCTTGCCAAGCATGCACACAAGGCTCTGGGTTCGATCCCCAGCCCTGCACTACAAAAAATAAAAAATGAAGACCTAAAGGAGGTGAAAGAGAATGTTGCTACAAGGATTTTAGAAATAAGAGTTTCCACGAAAATGGAAAAACAAAAGCCTTGAGTCGGGCAGATTTGATATGTTACTTATACTGAAGTGCTAGAACTAGCTCATTCTTGAGTTGTTAAGTTTTTAGAAACTTGGTGAGCTGATTGTGGAACAGTCATTATTTTAACAATTAACCTATGTAAGTTCATTATCAAATAAATCATATTTCAAACAAAAGTAACCAGTCCTCAAACCCGTGACTTCCTAATTACATTGTTGCCCTTTTACTATTGTCTGTACCCTGGAGGTTATTTGTATCAGTGATGTCTTCACATTAGAAATAGTACAATGGTGGGCTACCGTAAATCTCTTTACAACTCCACAATTGGTGACACTAGTCACTTGAAATTGGTCACGGTGGGAATGTATATATCGCGGTGGGAATATATATACCATGGAAGTAAAGTAAAAGTCAGAAACTTTTACCCTGGAGTGCTGACTGGAAACATTTATCATTGTACCTCTGTGTTTAAGACTATCAGGTAGTTAAGTTGTGGTCAGAGTTGGCTGAACAGGTGGCAGTGCAGTTAAAGAAGTAAAGGAAATAGGTTGGGGCTGCCCATAAGGTTTTACTCTGCCACTGAAATGCTTTGTTCTTTTTTTTTTTTTTTTTCTTTTCCCTAGTGCCAGTGCTTGAATACAAGGCCTCCGGCATGCTTCGCCAAAGCTGTGCTGAGCTACATCTCCAACTGTGTTTTGGCTTTTTCTCTTAAAAGGAAGGGAAGGAGGGAGAAAGAGGAAGAAAAAGTTTAAAAATTTTTGATAACATTAAAATTATGGTTCAACACATAAACAACTTAATGTTGACTCAAACTTCTAGAAAAAGAAGAGCAGGCTAAATGAAGAGCACATACAAGGGAAGAAATTGTAAAGATCAGAGAAGAAATTAACACACTGGAGATTAAAAAATACAAAGAATCAATGAATTGAAGAGTTGGTTCTTTGAAAGATTAAATAAAATTGACAAACCCTTAGACAACCTTATCAAAAAAAGGAAAGAAAAGAGTCGAATCTACACAATAAAGATTGAAGAGGGCAAAATCACAACAGACCCTGCAAAAATCCAGAAGATCATCTATGCCTATTTTGAAATCTTGTATTCTAACAAGATGGAAAATACAGAAAAAATGGACAGATTCCTAAATACATATGAAAGCTGAATCAAGAAGGTATAAAAATCTTAAATAGCCCAATATCAATGAATGAAATCAAAGATATAATAAAAACTTACCAACAATGAAAAGCTGAGGCCGTGATGTATTCACTGTCAAATTGTACAAGAAATTTAGAAAAGACCTAACACCACTACGTCTCAGATTCTTTAATGAAACAGAAAGGGAAGCAATACATCCAAATTCATTCCTAGAAGCAAGCATTACTCTGATACCAAAACCAGAGAAGAACCCAGCTAAGAAAGAGAATCACAGGTCATTCCCTAATGAACATTGATGCAAAGCTCTTCAGTAAGATATTGGCAAACAGACTGCAGTAAATTGTCAAGAAGATTGTACACCATGATCTAGTGGGATTCATCCAGGGAATTCAGGGATGGTTCGACATGCGTAAATCCATAAATGTAATACAGTATATCAACAGAGCCAAGGACATAAATCATATGATCATCTCAATAGATGCAGAAAAAGCTTTGGACATGGTCCAGAACCCATTCATGATTAAAAAAAAAAAGCTATAGAACATTGGAATAGATGGTCTTTATCTCAATGTGATTAACTGTGACAAACTAACAGCTAACATCATACTAAATGGACAAAAACTGAAAGCTTTCCCTCTAAAATCAAGAATAAGACAAGGAGGGGCTGGGGATTTAGCTCAGCAGCATAAGCACCTGCCTTGCAAGCAGGCGGTTGTGAGTTTGATCCCTGGTACCAGAAAAAAGGGGAAAAAAAAAGAAGACAAGGATGTCCACTGTCTCCACTCTTATTCAACACAGTCCTAGAAACTTTAGCTGGAGCAATTAGATAAAAGAAAGAAATAAAAGGAATAAAAATAGGAAAGGAAGAAGTTAAACTATTGTTATTTGCAAGATAGCATGTAATTAGAAGACCCCAAAAACTCCAGTAAAAAACTTATAGATTTAATAAGCAAATTCAGTATTATAGCTGGATACAAAGTCAAGACTCAAAAAAATCAATAGTCTTGTTGTACATAACAAACTCATGGTGAGAAATCAGGGAAGCAACACCTTTCAACAAGAGCATCCAAAAAAAAAATGAAACATCTAGGCATCAATCTAATAAAGAATATAAAATACTTCTACATTGAAAACTACAGTACTCTGAAAAAGGAGGTTAAAGAGGATATTAGAAAAAGGAGAGATAGCCCATACTCTTGGTAGGAAAAAGCAATTTAATGAAAATGGCCATTCTTCCAAAACTGTTATACAGATTCAGTGCATACTCAAACAAAATTCCAATGGTGTATTTCAAGGAATTAGAGATAACAAGCCTAAAATTCATCTGGAACCAGAAGAGACCTAGAATCACAAAGGAAATCCTGGGCAATAAAGATAAGCCGGGGCATCACAATCCCTGATTTGAAATTATACCACAAAGCTATTGTGATAAAAACAGCATGGTACTGGCAAAAAAAACCCCACAAAAAACAGACCTGAAGATCAATGGAACAGATTAGAAAATGCAGAAACAGCTCTGGACACACTAAACCACCACCTTATCTTTGGCAAAGGTACCAAACACATTCACTAGAAGAAAGATGGCCTCTTTAATAAATGGTGCTAGAAAAACTGGCTCTAACTTGATCCCTATCTTTCACCATGTACTAAGCTCAAATCAGACTGGATCAAAGATCCAATATTAAAACAAATATTAAATCTGCTGGAAGGGGCTGGGGGTTTAGCTCAGCGGCATAAGCGCCCGCCTTGAAAGCAGGAAGTCGTGAGTTCGATCCCCGGTACCGACAAAAAGGAAAAAGACAAAAAAAAAAAAAATCTGCTGGAAGATAGAGTAGGTAAAACTCTTGAAGACATTGGTGTAGGCAAAGACTTTGTGAATAAAACCTACATTGCACAGGAACTATTCCAAAGAATCAACTACTGGATCAGGGCATGGTGGCACAGGCCTGTAATCCTAGCAGTTGGTAGGCTAAGGCAGGAGATGGTTGCCAGTTCAAGATCAGCCTGAGCTACAAAGTGACCTCAAAGCCAGTTGAAAAAAATCAACAACTAACAACTGGGATCTCACCCTACTGAAAAGTTTTCACACAGTAAGAGAAATCACCAACAGAGTGAAGAGACCACCCATAATGTGGAAGAAAATGTTTGCCAGCTGTGTCTCAGACAAAGAATTACTGTTGAGAACATATAAAGAACTAAAAAAACAACAACAACAACAAAAAACCCACAAAAAACAGTCCCCCTAGATTTAAATACCCAATCTGAAAATGGGCATCTGAGTAGAATACACACTTCTGAGATGAAGAAATACAAAAAGCAATATGTGAAAAAACATTGAACATCACTAGTCATTCAAGAGATGTAAATTAAAACAAACTGAGATTCCACTTTGCCCCAGAAAGAATGGCTACTATCATGAAATCAAGCAGTGGGCTGGAGATTTAGTTAAGTGGCTCAAGTACTTGCCTGGTTAAGTGCAAGGTTGTGAGTTCGGATCCCCAGTACCAAAAGAACCAAACAAACAAAAACAAAAAGAGAAATCAAGCAGTAACAGTGTTGGAGGGGCTGTGGGGAAAAAGGAACTCTTCTCCACTGTTGATGGGAGTGTAGACTGTTGCAACCACTCTTGAAGTCAATACAGAGATTCCTCAAAAAACTAGGAGTAGAGGTCCCATTTGACCTAGCTCTTCCCTATTGGTTATCTTCCCAGAAGAACTGAAAACATCATCACAGTGATATATAGGCACCCGTGTTTACAGCAGCACGGTTTGTAACAGCCAGGTCTTGGAAACAACCTAAATGCCCATCTACTGAGAAATGTATAAAAAATGTATTTTTATACAATGGAGTACTACTCAGCCATAAAGACGGATAAACTTGAGACTTATAGCTAAATGAATGCAACTCAAGAACATACTCATTAGTGAAATAAGACGTGTAAACATATGTGAGATAAAGTATGTATATGTATATGTACATAAAAATAGTTAAGATAATTGTACTATCGATTTTTCTGAATTCACAGAAGAGAAAGATTTGTGCTGGTATTGTTCAGACAATTGAATGCAGATGTCTTGTGCTCTGAGTAAATAATTTTGGGATGACAATATACAATGTATGTACCATTGTAGCTTCCTGATTGATGTGTTTTAAAATTTAGTTGTAATGGTTTTTAAATTTTTATTTATTTTGTCTTTTTGAGACAGGATCTCACTATGCAGTTCAGGCTAGCCTTGGCTCACTTTGTAGCCCAGGCTGGTCTCGAACTTGCAATGATCCTCCTACCTTAGCTTCCCAAATGCTGGGATTATAGGAGCGTGCCACCATGCCTGGCTTGTTATAGTTTTTTCTTTTTTCTTTTTTTCTTTTTATCCTTGAAATAAAACAGATGTGGAAAATAAAATAAAATTATTCTTCAAAGCCTTGTTTGTCGTAAGCGCCTTCCTCTGGCATGAGCCAGGAGGAGACCCAGTCAGTGTCCCCTGTGAGCTTACCGGTGTGTGGGCTGGGAATCAAACACACACACACACACACACACACACACACACACGCACACACATTAGCAGCTGGGGACAGAGGTCGGAGCATCTCTTGGGAGAATGATTGTATGCAATAAGCAAATATGGGGGACTTCCTTCTATCTTCTGTTTGAAAGTAAATGTTTTGTTTCATTTTTATCCTATTCAATATTCTCTTTTGATTAGTTTTATAACATTCTGTCTTTGGTTTGATTTTGCTATATGTAATTGGCTAGACAACTATTTTGAAGATAACAAAATATACTATGGTACCTATTACTGTTATCCTGGTAACCTGCTCTGAAGTTCTGTAATAATTGTCTCTATTGGATTTGTTCTGTCTTGTTCAGTTGTATTTCTACTACCTTCAAAATAAAAAAATAAATAAATAAAAAACAAAGCCTTATTTGCATATAATAAATAGATTCCAACATCAATTAAAAGCTGTACTATTATGTTTTTTGACTTTTTCTGTTTTTTGAGATAGTTTTGCTCTATAATTCACTGGCTTCAAACGCATTATGTAACACAAGCTGGCCTCAAAAATCATAGTGAGCCTCCTGCCTCAGCTACTGTAATGCTGGGTTTACAAGTGTGTACCACCATGCCTGGCAGTTGGACCTCCTGCTTCAGCCTCCCGAGTGCTGGGATTACAGGAGTGCACCATCATGCCTGGGCGTCTGAATAAAATATTTCAATAGCAAGCAGGTCCCGAGTTCCATCCCAGTACTTTAGAAGAAATGATGAACCTAGAAAAGTTAGTGAACCTACTTCAGTGGTTCTCAACAGATAGTATTTTGTCCCCAATGAAGAAATGTAGTAACCAAGCACAGTCTCACAAAACAACATGGTCAGCCAATGCCAGAATCAAACCAAGTGCATTGCAGGTAGTTTAGAAGGTGATGGTAGGCATAAAAAGTAGTATGACAATGCTAACATGGAGACATTTTTGAATTATCACAACTGTTTGGGGAGGAGTGCTACTAGCATTTAATGGGTAGAGGTTACTGAGTATCTTTCAGTGTATATGACAAGCCATTGCAACAAAGAGTTATTCAGCTCAACTCATCAGTAATGCAGGGACTGTGGAATAAAATCTTTTTTCTTTCTTTTTTTTTTTTTTTTTTTTTTTTTTTTGTCTTTTTGAGTCAGGGTCTCTCTATGCAGTTCAGGCTCACTTTGTAGCAGAGGCTGGTCTTGAACTTGCAACAATCCTCTGCCTCAGCCTCCCGAGTGCTGGGATTACAGGAGTGCACCATCATGCCTGGCGTCTGAATAAAATTTCTCAATAGCAAGCAGGTCTCGAGTTCCATCCTGGCACAAACAAATCAAAACAAAACAAAACACCCAAAAAAAAAAAAAAAATTAGGTCAGGCATATTGCTCAGTGGCCCAGTTCCTGCCTGGCAAGCTCGAGGTTGTGTGTTCAATTCCCACTACAAACAAAATACAAAACAAAAAAAAATTGTTTTAAGTTATCCTCGCCAATAGAGGGGAAAAAAAGAAAAAGAAAGTTGGAGCTCAACAGGACCAGTGCTTTTCGAACTTGACTGTAAATTTGAGTCACCCTGGAAACCTATGGAAATGCACATTTGAATCAGCAGGTCTGGGCAGGGTCTGAAATTCTACACCTCTAAGAAGCTTCCAGGTGCTGTTGATGCAGACCCTCTAAGGACCATACTTTGAGTAAGGAGGCACTAGCACTTGTAAACCTACGACACTCGTGCCACAGCTGGCTATTTATTACTGAAAGGGCTAAGAGCTTCTTCATCTCTGCAGCTGAAGTGTTTCTGTGGTGTGTGTGTTAAAGCATGATGAGGACAGCGCTTCCTTAAGAATCTGAGAAGATCCAAAACTTAAATTTTGGGGATGTGGCATGTGTAAGTTTGTGTTTGGCTTATTTTTTTTTAAAAACTTGATTTTGGCATACTCTGTAATTTGTGATTCTTTTTTTTTTTTTTTTTTTTTGTCTTTTTCCTTTTTATCGGTACCAGGGATCAAACTCACAACTGCCTGCTTGCAAGGCAGGCGCTTATGCCGCTGAGCTAAATCTCCAGCCCCTTGTAATTCTTTTCTTTGGGAGAAGTTTTTTAAATATGTCTCTAGAGTATAAAAAGTTCCTCTCTAAAGAGATCAAATTAGCTTTGTAAATGCATTAACAGAAAAATCTCAGTATTTCACTCTGCCTTTGGATGTTACTATATTTAAACACTTTCAAGTGGATTTCTGCATACTTACTGAGACTCAGGTCAAACAGCAGATAGACCATAAACCCAGGCAGATTAGAAAAGTATAATAGTGGCTAACATTTATTGAGTGCTTATAAGTGCTAGGAACATTTCTAAGCATTTTGTGACACGAAATCATTGAGCAGTTACTCACTTTCGAATACTCCCTACTTGTCCACAGTAGCTGTTTACCATGTCTGTTCTCTCTCTCCTTCCTCTTTATCCACCTTCAAATAAATTCTTATTTTCTTTTCTTTTTTTTTTGTCTTTTTCCTTTTCATCGGTACCAGGGATCGAACTCACTACTACCTGCTTGCAGGGCAGGCGCTTATGCCACTGAGCTAAATCCCCAGCCCCGATTTCTTATTTTCTTAAAAATAATAAATCAGGGCTGGTTATTTAGCTCAATGACATAAGCACCTACCTGGCAAGCACAAGGTCATGAGTTCGATCCCCAGTACCAAAAAAAAAAAAAAAAAAATCATTGAATTTCACAACAACCCAAAGAGTTTAAAATGGGAAAATTGGCCAGGTGTGGCAGTGCATGCCTACAATCCCAGCATGCAGGAGGCACAGGCAGGCGGATTGCTGTGAGTTTGTGGCCAACACGGACCACATAATGAGTTCCAAGCCAGACTTAACTTCATGAAGAGACCCTGTCTCAAAAAACTAAAACAACAACAACAAAAAACTACCAAAGGGTTGGGGTGAGGGAATAGACATAGAAAGTTACGGTATTTAAAAATAAAGTGAGGGGCTGGGGATTTAGCTCAGCGGCATAAGCACCTGCCTTGCAAGCAGGTGGTCCGGAGTTCGATACCTAGTACCGATAAAAAGTTAAAAAAAAAAAAAAAGCAAAAAAAAGATGAAAAGAATACGTACAAGGATAGCCTCATAAAAATAAATAGATTGACAGATAAATATGAATGAAGTGTGAGGAAGTTTCCTAAAGGAAAGAAACTCAGCTCCTATTCTGGTATTCTTTTCGATTTGAATACAAATTCTAGAATATCAGAAGAAAAGAAATATCTTTTGGAAAGACACAGCATGTAACTATAATGGGGTCTCTTTTGGTTTTTGGTATTTTGGTTTTGGTTTTGGTCTTCTGAAACAGGGTTTCACTATTTAGTCCAGGCTGGCCTTGATCTCACTACATAGTCCAGTGGCTTTGATTCTGCTTTAGCTTCCCAAATGCTAAGATTACGGAGTTTGAACTACATCGTAAGACCTTGTCTCCAAAGAACCAAAAAGGAGGAGGAGGAGCAGGATCTATCATGTTTTGCCAATACAACCCTTTATTTGTAATGTAACTAGAATTTGGGCTGATGATTTGCTCAGTAATAGAATGTCTACTTTGCATATGTGAAAGGGTTTGATCCTCAGCACCACCAAATCAATACCACTACCAATGGGAACAATATTTAAATGTAATTAGATTTGGAGATTTTCAAACGATGCATTATTCCAGCCACTTTTTTGTATGTGAGTGTGAGGATTGGGGGTTGAACATAGAGCATTTGCTCCCAGCTACACCCCTAGCAGCACCTTCTTACTTTTTTAAAATTTTGAGATAAGGTCTCATTACATTGCCCATCTGTGATCATGCTGCCTCAGCCTCCCAGAGATAGGCATGTGCCACCACACCCTGCTTCAAACCACAATTTTTTTTATCAGTACCGGGGATCAAACTCATGGTCATACGCTTGCAAAGCAGGCGCTTATGCCGCTGAGCTAAATCCCCAGCCCCTCAAACCACACTTTTTTGGAGTCAGTCTTATTATATAGAGTGGCCTTGAAATTATTAATTGGCCCAGGCTGGGCCTTGAACTCTCAGCTATTCTCCTGCCTCAGCCTCTTGAGTGCTGGAATTACAGGAATGTGCCACCACGCCCAGCCAAGAAAAAGTTTTAGAGGATGTCAAAGGAGCTTCTTTACAAGGCTCTGCATTTTAGACAAATTTTTTTCAACCCAGATAAAATAATCTATGGGAAATCAAGTAGTAATAGTTCTCTGAGCTTACCATTTACCCAGACACTTTATATACAGACAATCAGAAGTCAAAAATAGGGGCTGGGGATTTAGCTCAGCGGCATAAACGCCTGCCTTGCAAGCAGGTAGTCATGAGTTTGATCCCTGGTACCAATAAAAAGGAAAAAGACAAAAGAAGTAAAAAGTAATACCAAAGCACATTCAATTTTTTAAATGTTTCAACAGTTAATAAAAACCAAGATGTTAAACATCCTTACATACAAAGACATTTTGCCGGGGCTGGGGATTTAGCTGAGCAGCATAAGCGCCTGCCTTGCAAGCAGGCAGTTGTGAGCTCAATCCCTGGTACTGATAAAAAGGAAAAAGACCAAAAAAACCAAAAACAAAAACAAAAAACGACATTTTGCCTGTATCATAACATCATGAATACAGAAAATCTATAAATTTTGACATTAGTCAAGCATGGTGGTGAAAGGGTTTTGGCCCAGACAGGACACTGTAGCCAGGAAAACCTCAACTGGAAGCAGGAAGCCCCTATCTCCCCTACCCCTAGGAAGTTACCTGTGACGCCATCTTCCCGCCCCTGGAAATTTACATATGGCGCCAAACCTAGGACCAATGGGCTACCTGTGCATCCCTAATCCCCGCCTTAGGTTCCACCCCAAACCGAGGCTATTTACAGGCTCCCACGCCACGTGTCCACTGGAGAGATCGCTGGACGCCAGCAGTGGGGGTGCCGGTCATCTCTCTCCATGTTCTCAGAATAAAGGCCGCTTTTTATTTTATGCTTCTCATCTTTTGGAAATATTTTTCATCTTTTGGAAATAATCCTAGCAGGTGGCACATGCCTGTAGTCCCAGGACTCAAGAGGCTGAAGCAGGAGGACTGCCACAAATTCGAGCCCACCCTGGGCTACACAATGAGTTCAAGTTTTTCCTGACCTATAGAGTGATACTCGGTCTCAAAAAAAAAAAAAAAAAATCGAAGTAAAATGATGTTTTTTTGATTTTTTGAAATAAAGTTTCCATGATACTTTTCTTTGCATGCAGATATCTAGCCTATTGGATACTACATAAAAATTTTAATTATTTTTTAACTTATTCTGAGATCAGTGAAGACAAGCATTTGAAAATATTTCAAGTCTTTTTCATGTAGATCAAATTAAACAAAAGGACACACTGAAA